GAAGATAAATGTTTTCCAGCAGGATTTGACCTAGTAAAAGCGGCTAGTCTTCTTCAATATGATGAATCAAGATTTGAATTTTCACTGGGAGATGTATTTACATTTAGTGCCCAACATTACTTCGAATAATATTACGTTCAATAAGAAGATACATGTACCTAGCAAATAAAAAAAATACTTTTTAGAATTGAATCTAGTAAAAAAAGTTAGTTATTCGCAATGTAGTGAATCATGATTCAATTCAAACTATTCAATATCTTATTAAAATGTTAATTTTCCCCCCTTATTCAAATATTTTCTTTCTTATCTATTGTCCTCCAGTTTCTAAAATAGTGAACTTGATCATCTTCCATCACATCTAAATTTATTTGTAGACTTTTGTCTGCTTTGCTTTACAGTGATATGGACTGTCACTTGATTAGTCAATAACAGTGGCTTCTTTTTGAATAATAATTAAGTTATTTCCATTTACTCAAAAAGCACTAAAGCAGCCGTCTTTGAAAGAATTTGTTCACAATCTCTCAATGACAATAGTATAAAAAATTGAAACAAAAATGATATTTATATTAAAATAAAAATTCAAAAAAATAAAAATATGTAAAAAAAAATTAATATTTGTTTTGCAAGTTTTCATATTAAGATGTTGGGAAAATGACAATAAAATACCACTTGAATTCCAAAAAGACAAATAAGGACACCTGAATAAGCAAAATGACAAATAGGGCACTGGGTACCAATCTGGAATTCATATTTTCGGCCAAAAGACCAAAATGCCCTGATGAAATGCGGAAAGACCGACGCTGAAAGTGAGAGAAAGGAGAGAGGAAGACCAACGCAGTGAGAGAAAGGAGAGAGGAAGACCGATGCTGATGAAATGCGGGAAGAAAGAAAGAAGAATGTTGGAAATGCTATTATCTTACTCCTTCGCATCACCATTCTGTAGAGATTGTTGATTTGGTGGGTTTTGGTTGTGGGAAAGAGGATTTGTAGTGAGAGAGGGAGTGAACCTGTGGGAAAGATGAAGCAAAAATCAGAAAATAATGGCAAGCAATTACGTAACGTAACTGCTGTTATATGCCTGCTGGTTTTTGGTAAATCCCATTACGTGAATGGTAAATTTTACTATACATGTAGTTAATTATGAAAGTTAATAGTTCAATATTTATTGTGACGTACTTCAGGTGCACGTTCACTGAATGATTTATTTATGCTTATAAGTTGCCTTTCTGGTGAAAACAGGTTTACAAAACCCATTGAAGAAGTAGTCACTTTTACTATAAAAGTTGTGAATCACATTATGTGTTTTGTAAAATTCAGTGTGAAATTTTATTGGTGGTGAAAAGTAAGTTACTCATCCTCCAAAAATATGTTGCAAACCTATTAACAAAGTGGTCACTTTTACTACAAAAGTTGTAAATCCCAATATATGTTTTGTAAAATTCAACGTGAAATTTTATTGGTTTTTAGAAACAAGTTGCCCATCCCCTGAAAACTGGTTGCAAAAGCCATTTAAGAAGTGGTCATTTTCACTATAAAAGTTGTAAATATCACTATGTGTTTTGTAAAATTCAGCGTGAAATTTTATTGATTTTTAGAAACAAGTTGCTCATCCCCTGAAAAGAGGTTGCAAAACTCATTTAAGAAGTGGTAATTTTCACTACAAAAGTTGTAAATATCACTCTATGTTTTGTAAAATTCAGCATGGAATTTTATTGGTTTTTAGAAACAAGTTGCCAATCCCTTGAAAACATGTTACAAAACCCATTGAAGAAGTGATCATTTTCACTACGAAAGTTGTAAATCTCACTACGTGTTTTGTCAAATTTAGTATAAAATTTTATTAGTTTTTAGAAACAAGCTGCCCATCCCCTTAAAACAAGTTACAAAACCCATTGAATAAGTGGTCATTTTTACTACGGAAGTTGTAAATCCCACTATACGTTTTGTCAAATTTAGCGTGAAATTTTATTAGTTTTTACAAACAAGTTGTTTATCTCCTGAAAACAGGTTGCAAAACCCATTAACAAAGTAGTCACTTTCACTACAAAAGTTGTAAATCACAATATGTATTTTGTAAAATTCATAATTAACTACATGTATAGTAAAATTTACCATTCACGTAATGGGATTTACCAAAAACCAGCAGGCATATGACAGCAGTTACGTTACGTAATTGCTTGTCATTGTTTTCTGATTTCCGCTTCATCTTTCCCACAGGTTCACTCCCTCTCTCATTACAAATCCTCTTTCCCACAACCAAAACCCACCAAATCAACAATCTCTACAGAATGGTGATGCGAAGGAGTAAGATAATAGCATTTCCAACATTCTTCTTTCCTTCTTCCCGCATTTCATCAGCGTTGGTCTTCCTCTCTCCTTTCTCTCACTGCGTTGGTCTTCCTCTCTCCTTTCTCTCACTTTCAGCGTCGGTCTTCCCGCATTTCATCAAGGCATTTTGGTCTTTTGGCCGAAAATATGAATTCCAGATTGGTACCCAGTGCCCTATTTGTCATTTTGCTTATTCAGGTGCCTTATTTGTGTTTTTGGAATTCAAGTAGTATTTTATTGTCATTTTTCCTAAGATGTTTTCACTTAAATTTATAGAACTTTCAACGTAATATCTTTGAGCTAAAAGTATTGATTTTCCTTCTAAACAAAGATTGTATAAGAAAACAAAAGGAAAGATAAAACAAAAAATTGATGGCATTTTCTAAGGTGGTGACTGAGTTGTTACACAAAAAATATTCCGTTCCAATGGGCGCATGGGATCAAACCAAGTAGCAATAATTAGTATATCCCACTACACTCTTTTCTGAAAATGAAACATGGTTTGTATTTCATTCGTGAATTGCATTACATCCTAACATTTCAATTCAACAAAGCCTACCTAATTCTTCATTAATTTCTCTCCCTTTTACAAGCTCGTCGCTATGGCTTATATACATATTCCGGTCAAAAAGCCTCTTTGTTTTCACCTTTTTGACTTTGTGTGCGTGCGCACGCGCGGGAGGCACTTTATTATTTTTTGGTTTTGGACGTACATGAAACTTTTATCATTGTTGACCCAACGTTTTATAATTCCACAGGGATAATTATTGGCCCAAAACAGGGAAGAAATGATCATGCAACTTTTGGAATCTAAAGAAACGATAATATTGTTGGTCAACATCACCAATGAGGGTTGGCCATGTTAGTCCCTTGTATAATGGGGAGCTAAGATTCAAATTCTTATCAGGAGAGGTGTTCATATTTAATACTCAATAATGTCTTGAATAGAATTACTCTAACAAGAGGATGCTTATGTTTTAACAAAAAAAATTATTGGTCAACAAAAAATCGAGTTGGTGTAAATAAATTTCCATACGTTATACCTATGACAAATTCTCGTAATTACTTAAAAAAAAAGGTTTAGTTCCTCTCATATGTCTTAAAATTATTTAAAATAAATTAATTCAACCAACCAACTTTTCGAGTCGCTCAAAAAAGTAGCATTCAATTTGGCACATATATATATATTTGGCCAAAAAAGTTGGCACATATACCCTGATCACGTCATAATAATATCCACAAAATTTTTTCGTAGGCCATCATAGCCAATATTATTTTATATTTGTAGTTATCATCTCCACTCTTTAATATAAAAACTTATTTGACTTTTATTTTGATTTTAATTATAAGATCTCAATCCACTTTTGTTTCTCATAGTTATCTATTTTTTCTAAGATAGTCCTCTTGTAATAATATTAGTTCTAATTAATATATTTAATTAACGAGGATCTTTTAGGAAAGACGACACCTATTTATTATAAATAATTAATGTAATTAGTTTTTTATTTCTTCAAATTAATTGATTAGCTTTTATATTAAGGAGTAGAGGAGATAATAACTTGATAAAGATTCGATTTGAAACACTGGGACGGTAATTAAATTGACAAATCAAAATTATTTTAGAACCCTTGAGAAATTGAACTTCATAAAGATTAATTTTTACTTGCATTATATTAAAATAAATACATGGGAGGTTACGGGTCTTCTATGACATCACATCATTATCTTCGTGAGCATTATAAAATTATAAAAGCTACAATAGCATGCTGGTGGTGTTATCTTCTGTTGCCATTGATTTTTGGCCTTTTCTTTTTTGTTTCTTTCTTTCTTCCCTGATTTTTCTCCCATCACTAATAAAACAAAATATAAAAACTTTGGAGCCCTCCTGCAAATTGTTGTGGAATATATTGGGATTGATCCCAAGTTGCAAATAAAACCACTGAAATCTTACAGTTGAGATTAGGCTTTTCTTTTAGTGGTTTTTCAACCTCATTCCTCAGTGGGTAACTAACTTGATTTTCATAAATATTCCATCCGAAATTCACAACTAATTATATGTAATTTTAGCAGTTTAATAAGTTCAAAATAATTCTACTAGTTGTAAACGAGATTATTGGAATTGCACAGGGTTGCAAATTTGTCCTATAAGTTTTTACTCATAAGTGTTAGGCATTCAAAAAAAATTTGGGTGTAAATTTTACTCTAAAAGTCTAGAATTGTGGCAATTTTGTCCCCTATAGTAAAAAATTAATGTTGACCATTAGGGACATTTGACGATAAAAGTTTTAATGATAGAAGACAAAATTATCGTGATCTTAAACTTTTGGACAAATTTACATCGAAAATAATTTACAGCCAAATTTAATGCAAACAACTTGAGAAGAAAATTGTAGTTGTGTCCATGTCGGTCTTCATATTTCAATAAATTTTTTTTGGCCTGACATATTTCAATAATTGAATGTCTGTCATTAGAATTAATAGCTTAATAAGAAGGTTGTAATATTAATTATTAATTTTCTAATCAAAGTGGAGACAAACGGATAGATAGTCCAAAATGTAAAATCAATCGTTTGCTTGTTGCCACTCTTCTCTGCCACAAATGTTATCTCCTCTTCTAATTTCATTATAAATATTCACATGCAGCTAGCTAGCTATCCCATCCCATATCTCATCATCCTTCACTCTCTTCCTCTCTCTTTCTCTTTCTCTTATAGCTTTTTGAATACTAATACAACGCAATGGCAATAATGGGCAAAGAAACTTGGTGGGTCCTTTTCCTTCTATCAACACTACTACTCTTTGTGGATGAGATCCATGGAAGCAGAAAGCAAGAACAAGCTCTCAGGAATCTGAACAAGGCCAAGTTCAAGGTAGGAGGTTCCATTGACAGAAGTAGAAACACAATCTTGGAAGTAGATGAGGCTGTGTTTGGAGACTCTGATGATAATAAGTCTCGTTACTATTATCACCAAGAAGGATTGAAAGAGAAAGATAGGATTCAGAAACTTCCAGGGCAGCCTGAAGATGTGAGTATCTCTCAGTATGGAGGGTATGTCACTGTGGATAAGATTGCAGGAAGAGCTTTTTATTATTATTTTGTTGAAGCTCAACCATCTCATAGGCACAAACTGCCACTTCTTCTCTGGCTCAATGGAGGTATGTAATATAATAAAACATTTATTTGCTTAACTAAATCAGATTTTCTTAGACTCATCATGCACTTCTTACGATTAACTTGAGAGAGATTAGAAGGATAACTTGATGATGTGTAAAACCCTTCATTAGAAGCCACACACGTCTCATCACTGATCAATACTCCTTTGTCCAATATGGTCTGGTTAATTAATTATATGATATCTATATATCGTTTGATCTCTTTTCTTGTTATCAGTAGTGTTGGTTTTTGTTCTTATATATGACATGACAATAGAAAGTTAGAATTCAAAAGTTTTTCATTCATAATATAATCTGATCCATTGGTGTATTTACATGCAGGTCCTGGATGCTCATCTCTAGGGTACGGAGCAATGCAAGAGTTAGGACCATTCCGAGTAAACAGTGATGGCAAAACACTTCAAACAAACAAATATTCATGGAACTATGGTACCTCTCTTCACATTTTTAATAAATATTATCATAGATTAATTTGGTATGTTGAATGTCATTGAAGTGTATATATATAATAATTCATATACACACACACACATATGTATGTATGTATGGGATTGGTGTTGCAGCTGCAAATGTATTATTCTTAGAATCACCAGCTGGAGTGGGATTTTCATATTCAAATAAGACATCAGATTACGACAGTAATGGGGACAGAAGGACTGCTACAGACAACTACGTGTTTTTAAGGAACTGGTTGGAGAGGTTTGGAGAGTACAAGAATTCTGATTTCTACATTGCTGGGGAGAGCTATGCCGGCCATTATGTTCCTCAGCTTGCTCACACCATTCTCCACCACAACAACCACCCTCACTCCTCCTTCCTCATCAACCTCAGAGGCATCCTGGTGAGTTCCTCTCATCATCTTCTAAGATAAGTTATACTACCCCGTTTTCTTAATATAAAAACTAATTGACTAATTTGAGTAAATTAAAAAAGTTTATTAAATTAGTTATTTGTAATACTACCTCTGATCTTTAATATAAGAGCTAGTTAACAAATTTAAGTAAATTAAAAAAATTAGTTAAGTTAGTTATTTATTATAAATAGGTGTTGTCTTTCCTAAAATACCCTTACTAATTATGTGTGTTAGCTAGAATTACCATTTGATAGAACCTTTAATGTATGCATTTATTACAAAGATTATTTTGAAAAAATAAATAAATATGAGAAACAAAGTAGATTAGGATCTTATATTTAAGATTAAATTAAAAGTTAAACTAGCTCTTATATTAAAGACTGGAGATAGTAGGTGTTATCTTCCCTATAATACCCTTGTTAATTTTATGTATTAGTTAGAACTACTATTTGATGCAAACCTTAACATGGACAATTAGTACAAGGATTACTTTAAAAAGAATGGATAAGTATGATAAACAAAATTAATTTGAGTCTTATATTTAGGACCAAATTAAATATCAAATTAGCTTCTATATTAAGGATGAGAGAGGTAGTATGAAGGAACAATAATATGAACATTATGGTAATCTATGTGTTTCTGCAGATAGGGAATGCAGTGATAAATGATGATACAGACAATAGAGGAAGATGGGATTTCCTAGCAAGCCATGCCATAATATCCGACATAGCAGCGCATGCTGTTAGCAAATTATGTGATTTCTCAGAGGTTGCATCATCATCATCATCAACTGATGATGATGATAAAAACAATGAATGTAAAGCAGCGTCAAACGAAATAGAGCAAGACACTGATTCCATCAATATATACAACATCTATGCTCCTCAATGCCAGGACTCTAATCTCACTTCCCTACCTAAGCCTCCTTCTGTGAGTTATATATTTCACTTCCTTGTTAGTTCCTAAAAGGACTTATCTGAGAATGAAATGAAATTTATGGTGAAGTTTGTGAATGTGTTTGTCCAGAAAGTGGCAGACCCGTGTATTGATTATTATGTGGATGCATATATGAACCGGGTTGAGGTGCAAGAGGCATTACATGCCAATGTCACAAAGTTGACTCATGACTGGGGACTTTGTAGCGATGTCATCACCAAGTGGAATGATAGCCCTTCCACTGTGCTTCCTCTTTTAAGAGAATTTCTCAACCACAGCCTTCGCGTTTGGATCTTCAGGTATTCACTATCCAACTCGAATTTAGCTTGAAATCATGATCGTTTAGATCAAAATTGGATGGTTCAGATTTAATATAATTATTTTTACATCTTATAAATAGCAAATAGCACTCCCTATCTATCAAAATTTCATGCCAAGTCCAGGGACATGATATAAATCATGCATTGTTCAAAAAATAAATAAATAACTAAAATGTCAAAAAGAAGAAGAAGTCATGGTCCTATTTAATTTGTTAATTGCAAATTAAAAATGATATGGCTCATTTAAACGTGCGAATGTGTAGAGCCCATCTAGTTATGTGTATTTTAAATTCTAACGAAATGTGCGGAAAATATGTATGCAGTGGTGATTTTGATGGAATGGTGCCAGTTACTTCAACAAAGTATTCCATTGAGAAGTTAAATCTCACTCTTAAGACTATGTGGCGCCCTTGGTTCGTCAATGGAGAGGTAATGATATGTAATGCATTTATAATATTAATTACACAATTTTAAATATACATAAATGTTATGCTGAACAAATCTAATTTTTAATATTATTCTCAAAATTGTCAAAACAAAGAACACTTTCACTCAAAAATATTTCACCATACAATTTAAACTTTCAATGTTTATGGTTATTTAGAATAATAACAATAACGGGATTCCTTGATGATAATAGCACGCCTTGTGTTACCCCAGGCATAAAACAACAAGTGGGCTCGCGAATAATATGCCTGTTAAAGTTTTTTCAATTATACTATATAATTTTAAAATTCACAATACTTTGGAATAAAATATTTTTGTCAAATAATAACAAAGATATAATGATTAGTACTACCTCTGATTCTAATTATAAGACCTCATTTGTAGTCTACAAACAGGATCTTATAATTAGGACAGGAGGTAGTACATACCAGTATATGCAAAATGAGATCCAACTGTCTAATTCAACCATGAATCATCAAAGATTCAATGACCAATTTATTTTCAGTATCTTAGTACTTCCTCCGGTCCTTATAATGCAAAAACTAGTTTGACATTTAATTTGATCTTAAATTCTAATTTGCTTTGTTTATCATATTTATCTATTTTTTCCCAAAATAATCCTTGTAGTAACTGCACATGTTAAATTGTTTTATCAAATAATGGTTCTAACTAATACACATGATTAGCAAGTATATTTTATGGAAGACAACACCTATTTATTATAAATAACTAACTTAATTAATTTTTCTAATCTACTCAAATAAGTCAACTGATTTTTGTATTAAGAACCATATATACTCTTCTGGTCCTATTTATAGGGTAGAGAGAGAAGATTTTTTTTTAATCTTATTTATAAGTCACTTCATAAATTTTTATCATAAATGTACCATATTGTCCTTTATTTGTTATAGTGCAGATGTTTTTTTTTTTTAAAGGAGTATATATTAAATAGGAGTAAAGTTGAAAAATTACTATATTTTAATGAAGAGTTAATGTAGCTTAGGGTTTTCTTTGGTTTGTGTGAAATATATTGAAAATACCTTATAAATAGGACAACAGGACTAATTTTTTTTAATGGGTTTGATTAATAATGTGTGGTGATTTACAGGTAGGAGGGTACACAGAGACTTATAAGGGAGGCTTGACATTTGCAACGGTGAGAGGAGCAGGGCATGAAGTGCCAAGCTACCAGCCAGGAAGAGCCCTTTCTTTGGTCAATCACTTCATAAAAGGCATCACTCTTCCTAATTCCACTACCTCCCCACATACCTGATTTCCCATAACTTGTTCTAAACAAGATGATTTCAATTATCATGAGAATAAGAGTGCATTGTGTTGTTAAGCCTCCTTCATTACTTTAAGATTATTGTCAATTCACAATGTTGGGAGTCTAAACGCCATGCCTTCTCTTTGGTTATGTTAAAGAAAAGCTTCGCATTTTCAATTCTAATTGGTCACCTTATCAATAAAAATAACAACAATAAATCTTATCATATTACGTGAGTTGGTTATATGAATCACAATACCATTTTATTTTATAAGCAATTTTTTTTAGGATAAATTGTTAACCAAAAAGTTTCACTGAATAAATTTATTGAATTTTTTAAAAAAATCTTTTTGTACTCTTTTTGGGAAGATTCCATTTTTTTTACACACATACTATCAATAAATTTTGAACATCTACTACATCAGTTAAATAAAGAGGAAAGAGATGCGAGTGGCATGCTTTGCTCTTATTTTAGAGAATACTTTACAAATATTATTGGATTATTCTCGAATATCTGTACATTTTATCAAATAAAGAGCATTTTTCAATTAAAAGTAAACAACAACTATTGGACCGGAGAGTCTGAGAAAAGGAATAATACAACAAGATCAGGCCCTTTTCTGTCAACAAAAATTTATACAAGTGAAGAAGTCTCAAGAGGTTAAATTTTGGCTAAGTACAAGTATCCTCCTGTTAGAGACAATTCTATTTAGATTACTATCTGATAGTTAATGTGGGTACTTCTCTTGATGAAAATTTGAATCAAAATGTTAATAAAATTAGTACACACCTCACAGCTTAAAAGTACTGAGACGAAACCCATTCACAGAAACAAGAGTCCAGGTAAGCCCATGGATGACAGAAATATCGTGGTTAATTGACTGAAGTAAAAATGAGGCCCAACAATTTAGTGGGCCAACAAAAGCCCATGTTAATACTTTGTATTGTATTTCACAGTCCCAATCGTCATTTTTCTATGACGTTGGTCATGTTTTTACTATCATTCTTTAATTAGATTTTCAATAAAATGATTTTAAAAAATTGAAATATAAAATTATTTGATTTAATTTTCTTAATTTGACAAATTTTTAAAGTCCGACGTTTTCATGGAAAATAAAATAAATTAGAATAAATAGCACATAAAATATAAATTAATTTGAAATATAATTTCGACACTGATAATATACATTTTAAGGAAAATTTTACCATTATTTAATATTTAGTTTTTTCAATTTCATTGAGAACCATTCTACACATGATTTTGTAAAAATAATATCAAATGTTTTGTCATTGGATGAGAAAGCAGACCGTTCACGGTATTTTTTTTCTCTAAATTATTTGAGATGTCTAGTTGCCCAAAAAAAATATTTTTATTGTTATATCAATTTTGGAAAATTCCAATTGACAAGCTTTCTTTTGTTTTTTTGTTTTTTTGGGTACACGCCACTCTGTCTTCTGAACATGCAACTTTTGACTAATTGGTCCATTCCTAAAGTAGGGTCCATTTTATTGGTGGATCTCATTAGCATAGCGCTTCAAATCATAAACCTTCTTTTCTCTTTTTCACTTTCGGAAACCAATTCTTCCATATGATTCTTTGTTTTGGATTTTATAAATATGTTTTTCAATTCTTAATATAAAAGATAGTTAGAAATTAAATTTGATTTTAAACATAAGAGTTTTAATATAAATGATTAAAGATGGCGGTATAGGGAGTTCAATACACCTTTGTTATAATCAACTGACTTAAACTAATTTTTTTATTTTTTTCAAATTAAATATCTAGTTCTTGTATTAATGACTGGAGAAGGAAATATTAGTTATTGATTTGACAGTAAATAAGTGTATATGTGGCATTCTTAACCTATCTCAGCAACACAAGTCTGATGATGTGGCTGCCATGTCATCTTTCTCTTGCTTCTACATTTTTCTTTTTTTTTCTTTTTTTTTGTTGTGAGTTGGATTTTAGAAGGGGAGAACCGTAATTAGGCATGTGCGATAAAATATTTGAATCATAAATTGCAAATATTAATTCAAATAATTACAAATTGAGGGTTACAAATGACTAAACTTGCAATTATTTGAATTTATATTTACAACTCATGTTTTTAAAGAATTTTTTTCCGATGTAACTGTTATTAAATTAATTTTTTAGGACCTAACTATCATTATTCCTTTTAAAAACTCATTAGGGTCAAGGTAAGTTTTATGACTCAAAAACATATTTATAAAAATATTTATAAATTACTGCTTATCAACCATGTCTTCCACTTCAAACTCTCTTCTAGATCAAGGCTATGTTCATACAGACTTTTCGATTAAACCTAAACCCAAATTTCTTTTTCCCTTCCCTCTATTTTCTTTTCACTTTTTCCCTCCCTTTTCATTTGTCAAAGTTGATTTTTAAGGATAACAGTAATTTCAACTCCATTGCCAAAAATTCAAAATTTATATTAAGTCAAAAATTTTACCTGAGAAAATTGTTAGGATTTGATCTTTTCAGTGTTTTAAAAATGCTAAAAGTTAACTTAACGCCCTACATAATTTCACCTTAAATTCTAGTAAAAAACAGAAATCAAGAATTTTCTTTTCTGTTATAAAAAAAAATTATGAAACGATTTAATCATGTAACTAATAGGGAAAAAAAGTGAAGAGAGAGAGAGAGAATTAGGCACTAGTTGGTGCAAATAATATAAAACAAGGGAATTAAAAAGGTTTTTTTTTATATAAAACGTTTTTATATCAGTAATTAAAAATTAAAAAATAATAAAAAACATTTATATCAATGTTATCAATAATAAAATACTCCATTGGTCCTTAATATAGAATCCGTTTAGAAGGTTGATCTTAACCCTAAATATAGGATATATTTTTCATATTTATCAGTTTTTTTTTCAAATTGCTTCTATTAATGCTTTTTAAAAAATAATTAAATACAATGGCATTAATTTAATAATACGCCTATATATTTTATACAGTGAGTAATACTCACTACTCATTAATTCCACACATACATCAATTCTGCTGTTTAATATTTTTAATAAAATAATTTAAAACATTTTTTTTAAAAATTTTAATGCAAATACTCATTCCAAGTGATTGGATTTTTTTACCTCCAAGAATAGCACAATAAAATATTAATCTTATTGTCTATTTTTGTCGCAGCTAGAAAAGCATAACCTTCTATTTATATTTTACCCAATCAAATTGACGCTGACAAAAAAAATCATCTCATGATGGTAAAAAAAAATCACTTTGAATCCATTAAAAATCTCATTTTTTAAGATATAATTATGTAGGCTTTGTGAATTTGTAAATCCCAAAAACAAAGATAACAACTATCTCTTGTCTTTAATACACTACAAAAAAATAGACTTTAGGCGACGACTTTCAGCGGCGACAAAAAAAGTCGCCGCTGAAACCAAGACTTTCAGCGGCGACAAAAGTGTCGCCGCTGAAAGTGGACCTTCAGCGGCGACTTTTTTTGTCGCCGCCGAAAGTGGACTTTCCGCGGCGACTTTTTTTGTCGCCGCTGAAAGTATATATAATAATATATATTTTATTTTACAATATTAATAAACAAATTGCCGAAAATGGACTTTTAGCGGCGACTTTTTTTGTCGCCGCCAAAAGTGGACTTTCAGCGGCGACATTTTTTGTCGCCGCTGAAAGTATAATATAATAATATATATTTTATTTTACAATATTAATAAACAAATTGCAGAAAATGGACCTTCAGTGGCGACTTTTTTTGTCGCCGCCAAAAGTGGACTTTCAGCGGCGACTTTTTTTGTCGCCGCTGAAAGTATAATATAATAATATATATTTTATTTTACAATATTAATAAACAAATTGCCGAAAATGGACTTTCAGCGGCGACTTTTTTTGTCGCCGCTGAAAGTATAATATAATAATATATATTTTATTTTACAATATTAATAAACAAATTGCCGAAAATGGACCTTCAGCGGCGACTTTTTTTGTCGCCGCCGAAAGTAGACCTTCAGCGGCGACTTTTTTTGTCGCCGCTGAAAGTATAATATAATAATATATATTTTATTTTACAATATTAATAAACAAATTCAATCTGGCTCAGCGGCAAGAAGGTTGGACACGAAGGGAGGCGGTCACGAGTTCGAACCTGGAAGAAGACACATTTAAGGTGAAAATATTTAGACGATGACATGGCGAGGAGGAGTGACGTGGCAATGACGTGGAGGTGGCTAGTGATGATGTGGCGGTCGGCGGTGATGACGTGGCCGCCGATGGCGATGACATGGAGGTCGACGGTGCTGACGTGGCGGCCGGAGACGATGATGTGGCACCGGCGGTGATGACGTGGCATTGGTAAAGCCAATTCTTCTTAGGCATTACTTTCAGCGGCGACAAAAAAGTCGCCGCAGAAAGTGTTTTCGGCGGCGACATTTATCGCTGCTGAAACTTCTAAAAGTCGCCGCTGAAAGTATCTTTTAACGACGACCTTTTTAGTCGCCACTGAAAGTTTTCAGCCACGGCTGCTACGGCAACGACTTTTCAGCGGCGACTTGTCGCCGCAAAAAACTTTCGGCGGCGACTTTTATACTTTCAGCGGCGACTTTTGTCGCCGCTGAAAGTCAATTTTTTTGTAGTGATATAAGCGTTCATTTAACTTTTATTTTAGTGTTGAATATAATACCCTACTTCATTTTAGCTCTCATATTGATCTATTTTTTTAAGGTAATCCTTATGATAATGGTAATTTTAGCTTATATACTTAATTAACAAAATATTTTTAAAAAGACAACACCTATTTATTATAAATAACTAACCTAATTAATTTTTATAACTTATTTCAATTAGTTATCTAGCTCTTATATTAAGAATGCAGGTGTGTGAGCTAGGAAAGACAACGATGGACTGGAACTAGTTTGAGAAGCAAGTTGACCAGTCCTTTTTTTTTTTTTGGGAAATGTCAGGTCTTTAAAAAAGTTTTGGCGGGGTATTTTGGAAAAAATATGATATATCTATTATTATTATCTAACTTTCTTAATATAATTAAAATAGTTAAATAGGTTCTATATGAATTATTAAGGACCAGAGGAGTATAATGATTTTTTATCAACAAGAAGTTGCTTCAATCATACTGTTAATTGCCATCTTTAAATGAGATCTCAGATTTATCATAACAACATGTTTGTATGTGTGGGCCTATTTAATTGATTTTTTTGAAGAAAAAGAAAATATAACCATACTACTTTCAATTCTTAATATAATATCTCTTTTGACTTTATTCTAAATATAATATCTCAATTCATTTTGTCTCTTATATTTAAGTATTTTTTTAAAATAGTCCTACTAATAATGATAGTTTTAGACAACACACAAAAAGTAATACTTTAATTTTGGTGGCAAAAAAACTCTTTTCCATTAAATGAAGTTGATTTGTGGCGCAGGCATAGGGAAACTCCAATGAGAATCACTTCATGTGCCTTCAATGATTTTCCAATGGATGAACCTTTCTGCTTTTCCCCCTCCTGTCATCATTATGTTGCTCCATATATTTCATCTTATTTAGAAATTATTGCACTGATAATTCTTTAAAGTATTATTCATTGCCAGTCATGTTAATGGGGATATAATGAATGGTAACCAAATGAAAAGTCATTATCATAATCATCAAAGTTTTGGCGATTTTGAAACTAGCCAGTAATATCACTAGCTATTATACTCCTCCGGTCCTTAATATAAGACTCATTTAACTAATTTGATTAGATTAAGGAAGTTAGGTAAGTTAGTTAATTATAAAAAAAGTAACACATTTTTCCTAAAACACCATAATTATCTTTCTTAATACCCCCTCTCCCTCTTCCACTTGATTATGGTTGAGAGAGCATCCATAGGAGTAATTTTGATAAAACTGATAAATATGAGAAATGGGTCTTATATTTAGGACCAAAACAAACTTAACAATTGGGTCTTATATTAAGGACCGGAGGACTATTAAAAAAAAAACTATCTCTTCCTTTTTACTTGTTCATCATCTTTATTATGAAATATTACTAAAAGAAATCTAATTTAAAAATTTTATTGATTAAAAAGATCTGAATTTGAGTAGTCAATACTCATTAATCTAATTTTTTTAAAAAAGAAAACTACACATTAATTTTTCCTTATGTCATAAAGCATTGAGCATGGATAAGAATGCAAACCCATTTCATACTGTCATGATGTTCATGACCCCATATGCAAACAGACAAATCATATAAAAAAATGAAAGAAAAATCTCTTAGCAGCCTTTTTGGATTATGAACTTTAAGAATTTATAGTTCTAGCACTTCATTTGAATTAAAGTATTTATAAAAGAATTCAAAAAAATGCTTTTGAATTTTAAAATTTTAAATCAGTCTTATTCATTATACTTTATTAATAACTGACAATATTTAAAAAGTAAATGACAATATATTTTTGTAATCATTCCTTATTTGATATTTTGAAATTTTAGATGTATTTTTTTAAAATTTTACTTATTTATTTGTCAAATAACAATCAAAATACACACACATATATATGAGTTTCACATGGGTTTAGCAGACAAAAAGGTTAGATATGCTAACTAAGAGAGTAGATTCAACTTTGGAGCATGTCGCGACCTTGGGGCATCTTCCAAGCATCTTCGGAGCAAAAGCCTTGATTGTTTGGATTATAGGTAAACTCAACCTTTTTTACAAAATTTTGTCATAAAAAAAACAAAAAAAGATATCAAATCCAAATTATCTCCCATCACCTGTAGATGCCCTATCAAGAGAGAGAGGCCCCCACCCACTCTCTTATTCTTCTTCCTGCATTATTAGCAGAAGAGTCCAACTTGTACTGAAATTAGAGTCTAACTATAATTAATTACAATATAATTATTTTCTTATACACTAACCCTGAATAATATTTTTTTTTGTTATTCATGATCCGTGAAGAGTCCGAATTAGTATAAATTTTATTTATATATTAATATATAGGATCTAGCTAGGTATATCTAATACAGATCCCATGTGTCATGCAGGGAACTAAAAGGAATAACTGAAAATTCCACCAAAATCTGAAGCATACGAAAAGTTTTAATTTTACCAATAAAATTACATATATTTCTTAATTTTGTTAACGTTTAATTACTTAATTAGGTACTATTTACTATTTAGATAAAATAACTGTGTTAGCTACAGATAGAGTATTTATTTAATTTATATCACTCGTCTCGTCAAACCTGCCTTCCCTTCTTTAACTTAACTTTGAAAATCTTCAATGCAGTTAATGCTTTTGTTAATTAATAAGGTTTTGGTTTTCCTTTTTCTCTACAAACTTTTAATGTGTTTTATTAAATAAATGACAATCATTTCGCTCTCTAAAAAGAAACAGTCACATGGCCAGAACATGCATGATTGGCGAGCTTGCACCAAAACTTCTCATAAAAAAGTTCAATTTGGTCCACATCATTTTTTTTAATAATAATAATAATAATATCTACAGAATCTGTATGCTTGTTGCTTGTATGTGTCTTGACTCTTATTATTATTCTTTTTTCAAGATATCATCATAGCCAATATTAATTTCATAGCAATTTTCAAACAATGTTATAAAAGTAATTAAACTTCAATGGGCCGTATGCATACAAACCAAATTCTAACATCACTTGTTGGCCAAAAATTAAACATTTTTTGAAAATAGTCAATAATGAATTATTAAATATATGAATAAATTTTGAACAAAGGCACCGATGAACTGAAAGATTCCAATTAATTCAAAATCTTTATCTGGTTCCGTTTCTTCTGTGCAGAAAAAAAAATATTCTCCTTCGCTTCCACATTCACATTATAAATTCTCACACACACACACAGCTTACCAGCTAGCTATATATCCCATCCCATACCATCCTCCCTCACTTCCTACCTCTCTTGTTTCTTTCTCTTCTCTCTTTCTCTGTTAGACTTTGAAATACTGATATTATCCCGAGAAAATCAAACAAGCAATGGGCAGAGAAACTTGGTGGGTCCTTTTCCTTCTATCAACACTACTGCTATTTGTGGATGAAATCCATGGAAGCAGAAGGCAAGAACAAGCTCTCAGGAATCTGAACAAGGCCAAGTTCAGAGGAGGAGGTTCCATCGACAGAAGCAGTGAGACAATCTTCGAAGCTGATAAGGCTGTGTTTGGAGATTATAATGATGATAGGTCTCGTTACTATTATCCTCAGCAAGGATTGAAAGAGAAAGACAGGATTGAGAGGCTTCCAGGGCAGCCTGAAGGTGTGAGTTTCTCTCAGTATGGAGGATATGTGACTGTGGATAAAATTGCAGGAAGAGCTTTTTATTACTATTTTGTTGAAGCTCAACAACCTCATAGGCAAAAATTGCCTCTTCTTCTTTGGCTCAATGGAGGTACATATAATATATAACCATTCAATTACCTCAGATCTTTTTTAATCATTCTGTTCGATTTTAAATATAGGAGCTTTTTATTTTCCCCCTAAATATAGATCATAATCTTGTTTGGCTCACAAATGTATAATCATTTTCCCAGACAACCTTATTGATTACACACATAATAAAAGGAATTTTCACTAGTGAAGATAGTTTAATCCAAATTATTAATGAGCTATTTTAGAACATCTACACGTATATGTGTATTACAAATAACTAATTTAACTTATTTTGATTAATTTTTGTAAATTAATTAGCTATCAAACTCTTGCATCTAGAATCAGAAGTAAATAGCCAGTGATATTATAAAGAGATAAAGTTATAGACTTGACTAAAACTTGCCATCTATCTCTAGCTAATTGATATTGTTTTCTTTTTGGCCAATAGCTAATTGTTTAATTTTGCTTACAATGTAGATTCCTATAGCTTCACATGCAAAAGAGGAAATAATGCATCTTGTTGTGGTGTTAACTTGTTGGAGACTCTAATAATTATTATGATGAATGTTGAAGCTTCTTTCTGGTTGTCATGTAGTTTTTTAATTAGACGCTTGGTGTTTGTCATTGTCCATGTTTATCATTAATTACTAATTAATTTTATATCATACCACCAAAAATATGATGATATTTTTGTCCTACAATATGCTACGAGTAATATGGATTTTTTTCTGGACGTTGATTTTGAGAGTGTTACCATTTCTAATTTTTATAATGTTTTTATAATTTACAAAACCCCTTTTGTTAAGTTTTGTGGGTATAATTAGTTATATATTATCTTAATGCTAACTGGAATAGTATAATTAACTTATAATAATAAAAATAATAAAAGTATAGATCCTAAAGTAAAATTAACTCGAAATATGATAACAAAGGCTAAATTAAAAATCTAGTAAAATTATAGGGACCAAAGTCATAATAATCTTCCTTCTTTTTGATTAATCATCAATTCATCATATATCGAAATATAATACCTTTGTGATGCCTATTGTACACATATACACATATAACTATATAACACCAATTATATTAAGACACATAAAAGTATAGTAGTTTACCAAACGACGACTCGTGCACATTGAATATTAATTATCAGGAATATATAGTATATAAATATATATAATTTCCCTGTAGTGTCTGGTTCTAAAAAATTGAAGATGAATTAAATAAATGGGGAACTTTTCCCACCACATGACAAATTCATATTTACACTAAAAAGTTAAAAATAAACTATATGTAAATTAATTACGTCGTTTTCGCATGATATATTTTCTTTGTCCAAGTCTGCGTGAAAACCACAATGTGAGTCACGGAATCAAACACATGCATCAAGACAACAATTAAGAAACCCACAAATTTAAAAGATTTAATACTCATGTAATCTATGTACATCAATAGTGTTAAAAATCTTTATTTTTTTTCAAATTTTTATATTTATTTTGATAATCAGTGTAGAAAGTTTTAAAGATTTCGAATTTTTTGCACCAATTCTTATATCGATGTAAAAAATACTTTTTATACTGGTTGGTGTTTATCCGTGTAAAAAAATTAGCCCCAAAAAAAAATTCCCTTCACTTTTTACGCCGTTTATGATCAATCTAACTGGAGGTAGTAAAATAGAAAACAGTAAAACTTTTCAACTATGTTTATGGGGTATGATGTTTCCAAGGATGCCTTTTCCCTTTAACTTTTAAACCCATTATACTCATAAAAAAGACTTAAAAAAAAGTTTGATGTTAATTACTCCCTCTAGTCCACAAGATAAATTGCTTTTAGCAGAATGACTTGATCTACAATATATATTATTTGAAGAGTAATTAATGCTTATTTGTTAATTTTATTCCTACAATTAATGCTGAAAGATAACTCCTTACGTTTTTCTCTTTCCTTCACGGCTATATTTTATATCGGTAAAATTGGAAAAAAAAAATTTTTAAAAATTTTAATTTGTGACCGTTTATTAAGTTAACTATCATTTTTTTTTATTTTAATGAATTAGTTAAATTGACTTATATTGTGCATCTCACCACGAAATTCCAACTCTGAAAACGTGTGATTTGAAATGTGTGCCTTTCTTTCTCTCACAAACGCATCTCTCAATTCTACAATTAAAGTCGAAGATTGCGTGAGGGAGACGAAAATATTCAATAGAAAAAGTGACAACATTAAAGAACCTTGCTTTAAAAGATTGTTAAATTCATGTTGTGGTGTGATTTGTTTCTCTTCCTGCCATTATTTTATCTGTTTTGTTTGATCTGTTTTGTTTTTTATCAATTGGCGCCTTTCATTGTATCATACGTAATATGTTTACTATGGAAATTTTCATTAATTAGGAGGTTTCAATCTTGATCATATTAAATAAGTAAATGTCCACTTGCTTCTTAGACCACATAAGATAAATAGACATTTTTTTTCACAATATATAAGCTTAGAAATTTGGTTATTATTAATTTAATTTATAAGTGTTTTGATTTTGAAGGAGTTTTAATTTTGTGTTGCTTTGGTTAAAAAATCTTCCAATTTTCAAATTAAACAGAAAATTATTTTAGAAGTGAAATCCCTTAGTATCCTCATCTTACAGGATTTCTTGGAAGTTCTTCTTGTGATCTGTCTTTGCAAATAATCTATTTATTATTATATTTATGGGGAAGATCTCAAAGCGAAGACCAAGTTATAATATGAATATTTGGGATCAATTAACATTATCTTTTACGGAGACTTTTTTTTAACCATATCTTTGACAGAGATTTTACTCTATCTTTAAGGTATGTATAGTTGCGCAGATAATGTTAGAGAAATTATTGCAGTTTTTAATAAAAATGAAAAAGGAGAGGTCTAAGTAATTTTACTCTTTACAAAGAATTGCTATGAAGTTTTGAATAATTAACATAATTACCAAAAAGTCTCAGTGGGAACAGCTTGTAATCAACTAAAAAGTTTCAAAACAATAAATGATAATTGTTTCCTTATCATTAAAATTTATCAATAATTATTTTCTTTTCTTGGGATCTCATTATAATTCTCCTTATTTTTTTTTATTTCTAGCTATATTTTATTGATAAAGAGAATCTCTCTGTAATTTAAGGGGGAAGGTAAACTAAAAAAATAATCAACTGTTCCAATGAAACTCATATGAAGCTAAAGAAATGAAAGTAAATAATTAATAGATCAAAATGAAAATATATAAAGTAAAAAATCTTGAGTAACTTAAAGAATTTTCTTGAAAACAATATCGATTGTAATGGCTAAATATATAATTAGAAAAAGAAGTGATGTGTTCAAAAACTCTTAGAATATTTTGTGAAATATAAATTCAGAATTTATATATTAATACCAATATATTTATAAAATATGAAATAACTTATATAGTCATGAACAAATTAGAGGCTTCAGGCTCATACAAGTTGGTGTATTTTCAGGTCCAGGATGTTCATCACTTGCGTATGGGGCAATGCAAGAGCTGGGACCATTCCGTGTAAATAGCGACGGCAAAACACTTCAAATCAACAAATACTCTTGGAACTACGGTACCTCTCTTCACATTATCACTATTATTATAAAAGGGTTAAGCCTGCTTTTAGTCTCTATATTTTTAATAAATTCTGATTTTGATTCCTATAGCTAACAGTAGTGTTAATAAAGTTAACGCAGTTAAACTCAGATATAGATCCTCATAAAAAAACTGCAGGGACCAGATTTTGGGACAATATAAAGTATAGGGGTATAGAGCAACAAAAACTAAAAATCATTAAAAGATTGGAACCAAAACTGCGTGTTTAACCCTATCATAAATGAGTATATGCTATATTGATGTCATTGTAAATATATCCTGATTCACATGTGTGTGTGGGGGGGGGGGTGTGGTTTTGCAGCTGCAAATGTATTATTCTTAGAATCACCAGCAGGAGTGGGATTTTCATATTCAAACAGAACATCAGATTATAGCAATAATGGGGACAGGAAAACTGCAGCAGACAACTACGTGTTCTTAAGGAACTGGTTGGAGAGGTTTGCAGAGTACAAGAATTCTGATTTCTATATTGCCGGGGAGAGCTATGCTGGCCATTATGTTCCTCAACTTGCTCACACCATTCTCTACCATAACAACCATCCCAATTCCTCCTTCATCAACCTCAAAGGCATCTTGGTACGTCTTTCCCATGTTTTCTTCTTCTTGTTGTTTTTTTTTAATTTTTTTTTGATAGAAATCAAGTGGTATCCTCCTGCCGATAACTAAAGACTAATCCTTTTGAGGCCACCGAAATAGGTTTTGTCCATCCCACTAAAGCCTTTTCTATCCACTTGGCCTAGTTCGAACTCAAAACATCATGTTTAAGAATTAACCTAGCCATCTACTAATTGTGCCAATTGTGCAGGTCTTTGTTGGTTCCCATCTTCTTTCCTTATTTGTTTTTCTTTTATCACAAGTTTATAGGTTGGGTGGGCAACCTCTAAAAATGAGAGTTTATCTGATATGAATAAATTAGGTTATTGTTTTCTCCGTGACTCTCTCTTTACTGCCCCCAAAATTGTTTCATGAGATTTTCCTGCCCTTAGAATTTATGTTGTCCTCTTGTATTTGGAATCTAGTCATTTGGTTTGGTTTTATAATTAGAAAAATAAATTTGATTTGACCGCTAACATGTTATGTAACCTGCAATTTTTGACCAAGACAATGAAATGACCTGAAAGGAATCTTGGAATTTCCATGACTCTATTATTTCCCTTCCCAAAAAAAAAAAAATCATTGGTTTTAATAGCTTTATTCCAAAATTGCTGTTACTATCATATAAATTGGTTCTGTGGGTGAATGAGTTGTTTGCTTATGGGTCAAGACTCATTATTGGGTTATCAAATCATGGAATGTTTTGGTGGGTTGGACCATATATATGAATAGATGGGTCCCAGTCCACTATCTGTGGTCAGACCTAATCCATTTGGCCCCTCACTTCTTTTCTTTTTTTTTTTAAATGTTAGATTGATTTTTATTACTTCAGTTTTTTATTGGAAATAATTAAGGTTGGAATGAATGACATTATACAAGATGACAAATAAAATTTTTAATGTTGATTAACGGCAATATATAAGTTCAAGAAGTTTTTTGTGTGATATACCTTAAAATGTTTGTCGAATTACCTATAATTAAAAAGAAAAGAAAAATGTTGAGTAATGACTGGACTAAATTTTAAAGGTAATAAATATAATGTTCCTATTTTTTTTTTTCAAAACTTACAAATATGTCCAACAGAGAGTAATTATGCTGGCTTCTTTCAAATTTTGCTAAAATTACATACTACCTGTGGTCCTAAATAGTGAGTAGATTAAGAAAATAAATTTAGTTATTTATAACAAATATATGTTGTCTTTCCTAAAATATTCTTACTAATCAAGTTTCTTAGCAATAATCACTATTATTAGAAGGGTTATCTGGAAAAAAAATGAATACTATTTCTAGTCCTTAATATAAGAGCTTGTTTAACTTTTATTTTGCTCATAAATATAATATTCCAATCCACTTTGTCTCTTACATTTATCCATTTTTTTCTCAAAGTAATCCTTGTAATAATAGTAGTTCTAACCAATAATTAGCAAGGATATTTTAGGAAAGGCAACACATATTTATTACAAATAATTAACTCAACTAATTTTCTTAATCTACTCAAATTAATCAACTAGCTAACTCTTATATTAAAAATAGGAGGTAGTAAATATGAGAGACAAAATAGATTAGGATCTTATATTTAGAACCAAAATAAAAGTCAAATGACATCTTATCTTAACTATTAGAGGTAGTCATATTTCTTTCTATTTCTTTGTATAATTTATACAAGCCCTTCTGAAGATAAATAGCAAAGCTTATAGGACACCAATGAGCCCTTAAAAAAAAAATTAAGAGGCAAACATTGAAGAGTTGAGATTATAGCTGAGATTAACCCATGACTCCCGCTCATCAGAAAGCTTTCATGTCATTATGCCATAAAGCCATTGTACCAATGAGTTTTCTATAATTACACATGCATATCTTCTTTGTTTAACAGATAGGGAATGCAGTGATAAATGATGGGACAGACAGCAAAGGGATGTGGGATTTCCTAGCAAGCCATGCCATAATATCAGACCAAGCAGCTCGTGTTGTGAACAAATTGTGTGATTTCTCAGAGCTTGTCGCAAACCAGAGCAGTGAATGCAGTGCAGCTTCAGATGAAATTGAGAAAGATCTTGGCTACATCGATATATACAACATCTATGCTCCTCTATGCCTTAATTCCAACCTCACTTCCCTTCCTAAGCCCCCCTCTGTAAGTATTCTACTTGTAGCTCAGGGCCCGTATAGAATAGCTTATAAATAGTTTTTCAATTATAATTTATAAAATACGAGATGAGTATGTGAAAATTTGTCTTAGTTGATGTCAAATGTGCTTACAAGTTATTTTAAATGTGATTCTAAACAAGGCCTTAATCTTTTGATGATATATTGGGAAAAAAACTTATTTAAAATATAAAATCTTATTATGTCTGAGAAGGAAGCAAAATTAATGGAATCATGTTTGTTAATGGTATTGCAGGTAGTGACAGACCCATGTAGTGATAATTATGTGTATGCATACTTGAACCGAGCTGAGGTACAAGAGGCATTACATGCCAATGTTACAAAACTCACACATGATTGGGAGCCTTGCAGCAATGTTATCTCCCAGTGGCGTGATAGTGCTTCCACTGTCCTTCCACTTTTGCATGAGTTCCTCAATCATAGCCTTCAAGTTTGGATCTTTAGGTACTCACATCATCCTTACATTCATTATGGTATAACTAGCTATATCGTTTAATCTTTTGTTTGGATGACGAGAAAATGAAGAAGGAAAAAAAAAATGGAGAAAGAAACAAGTTTTCTCCTGCTTAAATGGGGTTGAAGAGTTGGAGAAAAGAACAGTTGAAGAGAAAATAGAGTGTGAGGTCCATCCATTTTTTTCCTTCCATTTTTTATCTTCTCCTGACTCTTGTACATTCATATTATCTGATTATAAAATTTGTATAAAAAGATTTTTTTTCCTTAACGAAAGATGTGGAAAATAATGCAGTGGAGATGTGGATGGGAGAGTTCCAGTAACCTCAACCAAGTATTCTATTGAGAAGATGAATCTTCCTATTAAGACTGCTTGGCATCCCTGGTTCGTCAATGGAGAGGTAATTGTTTTTGACCTTTTTTTCAAATGATTAAATTAAAACCTTTAACCACATAGTTTAATTTTATTCAAGTTTCCAATCATTTAAAATGTTTTTAAAATCTAAAATCATCTGTAATAAACATTTTCAAAACTACAAGAATAAAATGACCGAGGTAGTCTTATAGTTTATTGAGTCAAACGTTTATAAGAATTGAATTTTTCCGTGTCAATAAATCATAGGGGTTGAGTTATTCTGAATTAAAAAATTATAGGAATTGATTTATTTCAAGTTAAAACTCGAAAACTAAATTAATAATTTGAAACATGTAAGAATACAAAATTTTCTAAATATTGATTCTGATATATAAATCAAGAACTAACACTAAAAATTATATAATCTAGACCGCTAGATGCATCACTTGATGAGATTAACTTTAAAAGCTATAAAAAGAAGTGGGATATTAATTTAATACATATGGTTAATTACAGGTAGGAGGGTACGCAGAGATGTACAAAGGAGGCTTAACATTGGCAACAGTGAGAGGAGCAGGACACCAAGTGCCCAGCTATCAGCCAGCAAGAGCCCTTTCTTTGGTCACTCACTTCCTAAAAGGCATCCCTCTTCCTAATACCACTACACATATCCCTAATTACTAATTCCTTTCTCTTTTTTCTCTCTCTGTTTTTTTAATAAGTAATTTCAATTTAATTAACGTTTCAGCAATGTAAATGAATTATGAATTATCGTAACGTTGTCTTCTCAAGAACCCCCCCCCCCACCCCAAAAAGAAAAACACTGAAATTGATGTTAGACAATAGTTCCTTTTTTAAATGGCGAGTCCATTTTGCGTGAGGTTGATTATGGGTTTATGGGTTGGGTTGGGCTTTATTTGGGTAGTTTTTCGGGAAATGAAACCCAATATGAGTTTAATTTGAAAAGAATTACTCAAGATCCAAGTACTTGGCCCAACTACTTCTTTCAATAAGAGTTAGTTTAATTGGCAAAAAATGGGCTCAAAATCTGGAAGATCGTTTTTTCAAAGCTCTTGCAGAGAATATTTTTCTATGCCAACCAATTTTAGTTTCAATAAAATGAGTTATCTTTTAAAATAAACTATGGATGATTGGACTTGTATAAATCTGGCATATGGAAGAAAAATACTCTTCAAGAGTTCTTAAATTTTCAGACCAAACCCAACTCCTTGCTTTTTTAAGCATTTGACACAAGAACAACAATATAAGTTATCTCTTTTATTATGAGTATTTTTTTGAGCAAACTCAAAAAACCTTTCAACCCCATCATCATATTCTTTACTAATTCTCTTAGCTTTTATTTAATTATGATTTATTGTTCTATAGAATCAATGAGCATAGTTTTACTGTCAAACTCAATTCTAATTGCTTAATTCAAATATTTAAATAAATAAAATAATTAAGTGTTAGAAAGATACATTCCTTTTAATTTGTAATTAAGTGACTATCACTTAATTACAAATTAACAGGAATGTATCTAATTACAAATTAACAACTATCTCGGGCTATCTCGGGCTATCACTTAATTCAATGAGCATAGTTTGTGACTCTCCGATACACACAACTCAGAACTATCTCGGGCTATCTCGGGCTATCACTTAATTCAATGAGCATAGTTTGTGACTCTCCGATACACACAACTCAGAACTATCTCGGGCTGGTTGAAGAAGTCAATGCTAAGTGACTATCACTTAATTACAAATTAAAAGAAATGTATTTTTTTATTTTATAAAAATTTTGACAGAAATTTTCCTTAAATATAACAAATCCCAAATTATTTTAAAAATGGAAAAATCAATTAATCAACAAACCAACAATATAATAAACAAATACAAGATAAATTTGAAGAACTGTAACTAAGAAAACAAAAGGAACAATTCAATCTTAAACCAATTTCATGAATAAAGATTCTTCAAGCTAAAACTTTTGAATCCAAATAGAAACACAAATGATATCCATTTGTCATGAAATTTTAAACAATACTTTGTTATCAATCAAAGTTCACAACAACAAAAAATTGGCCAAAACACTTAACAAATTATTTATTAGTAAATTCTCAAGTTTATTACAAAAATTTGAAATAAAATATTAAAAAATTTTAAAAAAATTAAAAATTTAAGAACTAATCAACTTTGAACATTTAAATATGATTCTAATACCATGTATAGGATTGAGATTTCCTAACTCCAAATGTCACCAACCAACCCCTCAAGCACAAAAGAAACACAAAATAAACAATGCAAGACATCCAAAATGTAAAACCAATCAACCCATTTGAAATACAACAAATTTCTATTATTAAAATATCCAAGACCAAGAAAAAAAGAAAAGAATGAAAGAAGAGGAAACTCACTCAGTGGGAGAAGATTAAAACACAAGAAGAGCAACAATGGTAGGCAGAAGATGGTGGAGGACGGCAGAAATCAACCATGACGCCAATGGAGGATCGAACACCACGGGAAACAGAGGGGATTTACCGGTCTTGCAGTTTCGGTGGTGGTGAGACAGAGGGGGACCATGGCACACTGATTGTGTGAAACTATGAAAATGAGAAAGACAGAAAGCGGGATAGGGTTATTCAAAACTTTCCAAGGCGGTTATTAAGATAACCTCCGTGAAAAGTATTTTTAACAACGATTAATTTTCTTAGCCATCGTTAAAAGTACTTTCCATGTCAATTCTCTTAATAAACACTGTGGAAAGTTAACGATCATGTCATTTATTTACAAAAACGCTACTGCCTTTTTTTCCATAGCATTTTTCTGTTTAACTGCCATTATTCTTGTTTTTCTAACTTTTGTGTTCCAATCAATCTTATTCTTTACAGTTTAATAATAACTGACAATATTTGAAAAGCAAATAACGGTATATTTTTGTAGTCATTTCTGATTTGATATTTTAAAATTTTAGATGTATTTTTTTTTATATTTTTCTTATTTATTTATCAAATAAAAATCAAAATACACACACACACACATATACATAAGCTCCATGATAAAGCCCAATTTTTATATATTTTATCCCACATTAATTCAGGATTTAAATGATAATTTTGAGCTTAATTGGATTTTTATGCATTATTGGATAAATTGGTTGATTTTTGGATTTTGCATAAAAATTAAGATTTTGGATTAAAAATATAAATATTTTGTGATTTCCTATTTTGACTTGGAATTAATTTTTCCTATTTCTTTGAAAACAAGTCTCATATTTTTAGAAAGATTATTTTTAGAAAGTTTTGTAATTTCTTGCCTAATTTTTGTGCGTATCTAACATTTAATTTTGATAGAGATTATATTATATTTGGATATAATCTACGTTAATAGATGCACTTAAATTCTTGTAGGTCAAGAATTTGCATATGGGAAATCCAATGGTGCAAGATTGTTTTTGGGAATCTAAGCACAATCCAATGGCTAATATTGATTCTGATATATAAATCAAGAACTAACATTAAAAATTATATAATCTAGACCGCTAGATGCATCACTTGATGAGATTAACTTTAAAAGCTATAAAAAGAAGTGGGATATTAATTTAATACATATGGTTAATTACAGGTAGGAGGGTACGCAGAGATGTAAAAAGGAGGCTTAACATTGGCAAACAGTGAGAGGAGCAGGACACCAAGTGCCCAGCTATCAGCCAGCAAGAGCCCTTTCTTTGGTCACTCACTTCCTAAAAGGCATCCCTCTTCTAATACCACTACACATATCCCTAATTACTAATTCTTTCTCTTTTTTCTCTCTCTGTTTTTTAATAAGTAATTTCAATTTAATTAACGTTCAGCAATGTAAATGAATTATGAATTATCGTAACGTTGTCTTCTCAAGAACCCCCCCCCCCCACCCCAAAAGAAAAACACTGAAATGAGTTGTTAGACAATAGTTCCTTTTTTTAAATGGCGAGTCCATTTTGCGTGAGGTTGATTATGGGTTTATGGGTTGGGTTGGGCTTTATTTGGGTAGTTTTTCGGGAAATGAAACCCATATGAGTTTAATTTGAAAAGAATTACTCAAGATCCAAGTACTTGGCCCAAACTACTTCTTTCAATAAGAGTTGGTTTAATTGGCAAAAAAATGGGCTCAAAATCTGGAAGATCGTTTTTCAAAGCTCTTGCAGAGAATATTTTTCTATGCCAACCAATTTTAGTTTCAATAAAATGAGTTATCTTAAAATAAACTATGGATGATTGGACTTGTATAAATCTGGCATATGGAAGAAAAAATACTCTTCAAGAGTTCTTAAATTTTCAGACCAAACCCAACTCCTTGCTTTTTTAAGCATTTGACACAAGAACAACAATAAGTTATCTTTTATTATGAGTATTTTTTTGAGCAAACTCAAAAAACCTTTCAACCCCATCATCATATTCTTTACTAATTCTCTTAGCTTTTATTTAATTATGATTTATTGTTCTATAGAGCAATGAGCATAGTTTTACTGTCAAACTCAATTCTAATTGCTTAATTCAAATATTTAAATAAATAAAATAATTAAGGTTAGTAGAAAGATACATTCCTTTTAATTTGTAATTAAGTGACTATCACTTAATTACAATTAACAGGAATGTATCTAATTACAAATTAACAACTATCTCGGGCTATCTCGGGCTATCACTTAATTCAATGAGCATAGTTTGTGACTCTCCGATACACACAACTCAGAACTATCTCGGCTATCTCGCGGCTATCCTTAATTCAATGAGATAGTTTGTGACTCTCCGATGCACACAACTCAGAAATATTCTCGGCTGGTTGAAGAAGTCAATGCTAAGTGACTATCACTTAATTACAATTAAAAGAAATGTATGTTTTTTTTTTTTTATTTTTAAAAAATAATTAAATTTCCTTAAATATACCAAATCCCAAATTATTTTAAAAATGGAAAAATCAATTAATCAACAAACCAACAATATAATAAACAAGTACAAGATAAATTGAAGAACTGTAACTAAGAAAAAAAGGAACAATTCAATCTTAAACCAATTCCATGAATAAAGATTCTTCAAGCTAAACTTTTGAATCCAAAATAGAAAACACAAATGATATCCATTTGTCATGAAATTTTAAACAATACTTTGTTATCAATCCAAGTTCACAACAACAAAAAATTGGCACAAAACACTTAACAAATTATTTATTAGTATAATTCTCAAGTTTATTACAAAAATTTGAAATAAAATATTAAAAAATTTAAAAAAATTAAAATTTAAGAACTAATCAACTTTGAACATTTAAATATGATTCTAATACCATGTATAGGATTGAGATTTCCTAACTCCAAATGTCACCAACCAACCCCTCAAGCACAAAAGAACACAAAATAAACAATGCAAGACATCCAAAATGTAAAACCAATCAACCCATTTGAAATACAACAAATTTCTATTATAAAATATCTAAGACCAAGAAAAAAAGAAAAGAATGAAAGAAGAGGAAACTCACTCAGTGGGAGAAGATTAAAACACAAGAAGAGCAACAATGGTAGGCAGAAGATGGTGGAGGACAGCAGAAATCAACCATGACGCCAATGGAGGATCGAACACCACGGGAAACAGAGGGGATTTACCGGTCTTGCAGTTTCGGTGGTGGTGAGAAGGGGGGACCATGGGCACACTGATTGTGTGAAACTATGAAAATGAGAAAGACAGAAAGCGGGATAGGGTTATTCAAAACTTTCCAAGGCGGTTATTAAGATAACCTCCGTGAAAAGTATTTTTAACAACGATTAATTTCTTAGCCATCGTTAAAAGTACTTTCCATGGCAATTCTCTTAATAAACACTGTGGAAAGTTAACGATCATGTCATTTATTTACAAAAACGCTACTGCCTTTTTTTCCATAGCATTTTTCTGTTTAACTGCCATTATTCTTGTTTTCTAACTTTTGTGTTCCAATCAGTCTTATTCATTACA